AGAGCCTCTCAAGATGAGAGGTTAGCTCATTCTCCTATTCAGTCCTCTGCCTCTCTGCTGATATTCCTAATGAGGTTTCCAGTTGTGGTGGTGGTGGGTATTTTTAGGGGTCTAAGATGCGTAGGCTATCTACAGGAATTGTACTGAAGTGAAAAGACAATTTTCAGACAGTAACTTTTGGTCACTACTGACCTGGTATTCAAACTACTGACCTAGAAGTAAATAGCTTTATATCACATTATTACCACATTCCTGAATTTTTGTTTTTTGTTGGGTTTTGTGTCTTTCTGAGGGAGCTTACAGTCTCTGTGTAACCTCTTCACAGTTTTTTGGATTTCTCTTTCAGAATTAGATTGCTCTAGTGTTCCAGTGGAATATCCTTTGTTTGATTACACTGTGCGCAGTTTGTATTTCCATCCCTGATATGTGGGATGCATTGTACCTGTAATTATTCATACACACACGTTTTCTGTGATACTCCCCCCATAAGTCGATGGGAGAATAGACTCTCATACTTCTAATACTAAGAAGACAAAAGCCCTGTTCTTTGTATTTATTTGGTAACAATTCTTAGCTCACTGGGTTACTGACTTGCATGCTGTAAATACTGTAGAATTACAAATTTTTTGTAATGGGTTTTCTATTTTTTTTTATACGAAGACTGACAGGTGCATGCGTTATATATACAAAATTTTTAAAAAACAAGCTCCTATGAGTCATGGGACTACACTTTCAACAAGGGGTTCTGTTGTTATCTTCAAATCTTGAAACCAAAGGTCAAGAGGCTTGTGTACTCACCATACACTCCAGGTGGAATTATAGCTCTGAGATTGCTATTTTTTTAGTAACACTCAATGATAATTTAGCCTTTTCCCCCTCATTGCATCTGCCATGGAGTGACATCAACAGCTAGGGCACCTCACTGGTTGAGCAGGAAAGCAGCATTTTACTTTTATTCATGGATTCTTGTAAACCGTGGGCATTTTATATTGCTGTTTTCTGCATGGGTTCTAGACCAGGGGTCGGCAACCTACGGCATGCATGCCAAACACGGCATGCGAGCCGATTCTGAGTGGCACGCTGCCTGCCCGGTGAGAGAAGGAGGAGGAGGAGGGGCCGGAAAGCGCCACGTTGGGGGAAGAAGCGGGGGAGCGGGGAAGCTTGGTCCTGCGGCAGCCAAGTTTCCCTCCTCCCCCGCTTCTTCCCACAGCTTGGTGCATTCCGGCCCCTCTGCCCCTCCTCCTCCCTCTCCCTGCCCGCGATGGCCCTTGCGAGGGAGAGGGGAAGGGCGGCAGCGTGCACACAGCTCCGTAGAGGACGCAGAGAGAGGTAGGGACGGGCCTGGGGGAAGGGGGTGGAACAGGGCATATCCCTCCCAGCTCCCTGCCATGAGCTGCTCAGGGCAGGGGGCTGGGAGCACCCCCACGAGCTGAGCACCCCAGCCTTCTGCCGTGCACCTCCCCCACACCCTCCAGCCCTCTGCCTGACCTCGAGTCGCCCCCAATACCCAGCCTTCTGCCCTGCACCCCCCACACACCTTCCAGCCCACTGCCCTGACCTCGAGTCGCCCCCAACACCCAGCCTTCTGCCCTGCACCCCCACACCCCACCAGCCCTTTGCCCTGAACCCTCCCCCACGAAACCTTCTGCCCTGCACCTCCACACATCCCCAGCCGTCTGCCCTGACCTTAAGTCGCCCCCAACACCCAGCCTTCTGCCCTTCCCCCCCCCACCCCCCCACCCCCTTGCCCTGCCCCCCCGCCCC